TGGTCAGGGAAAGATGTTTCCTACTAGCATTTGAGAGTGTTTGGTTATCGTGCATTTGCACATGTTCCAGATAATGAGAGGTCCAAGCTGGATGGTAAAACTAAAGAATGTATTTTTCTTGGTTACTCACATGATTATTTTGGTTATAGGCTTTGGGATCCAAAAGAGCAGAAGGTGTTTAGAAGCAGAGATGTAGTCTTCTTTGAGGATCAAACCTTTGAGGATTTGAAGAAGAAAGCACTAGCCAAGACTTCTGCAGAAGGATTAGCATATTGTGACCCAGTTATTCCTCTAGTATATCAGGGTGATGGGAGAAATGTGCAGGAAGATGGTGTAGAGCCTAACGTTGATCTACCTGCAGGACATATTGAGCAAGAAGAAGTTGGAGAGTAACTTCTCACAGAACCTCAGTTGAGAAGATCTTCTAGACAACGTCAACCTTCCAGAAGATACTCTATAGATGAGTATGTGATGCTTACTGATGCAGGTGAACCAGAGAGTTATCAGAAAGCAGTTGAAAGTGAGCAGAAAGAGAAGTGATTAGTTGCTGTGTAAGAAGAGACGGATGCTCTTTAGAAGAACCACACTTATGATTTGGTGCTACTACCAAATAGAATGAAGGCCTTGAAGAATAAGTGGTTTTTAGGTTGAAGACTCAAGAATATTATTCTCAACCAAAGTACAAAGCTAGATTGGTTGTGAAAGGCTTTGGTCAAAAGAAAAGTATTGACTTTGAAGAGATTTTTTCTTCTGTTGTTAAAATGTCTTCTATTCGTGTTGCTCTTGGTATTGCTGCTAGCCAGGACTTGGAGGTTGAGCAGTTAGATGTGAAGACAGTTTTCCTTCATGGGGATTTGGATGAGGAAATTTATATGGAGCAACCAGAATGCTTCAAAGTTAAAGGTAAAGAGAATTTTGTCTGCAAATTGAAGAAGAGCTTGTATGGGCTAAAGCAAGCTCCAAGACAGTGGTATAGAAAGTTTGATTCATTTATGATAGAAACTGGATACAAAAGAACGACTTCAAATCATTGTGTATACATCAAATGGTTTGGTGAGGATTTTATTATTCTCTTACTTTATGTTGATGATATGCTTATTCTTGGAAAAAATATGTCTAAAATTGATAGGTTGAAGAAGGAACTGAGTGTGTCTTTTGCAATGAAGGACATGGAGCCAGCAAAGCAAATACTAGGTATGCAGATTTCCCGTGACAGGAAAAATAAGAAGATTTGGTTATCACAGAAGAAATACATCGAGAAGATATTGGAAAGATTCAGTATGAACAATGCAAAACCAGTTGGTTCTCCTCTTGCAGGTCACTTCAAGTTGTGCTCAGAACAGAGTCCGTCAAGTGATAAAGAGAAGGAGAAAATGCAAAAGTTTCCTTATGCTTCAGAAGTTGGAAGTTTAATGTATGCAATGGTATGTACGAGGCCAGACATCGCATATGTAGTTGGTGTTACTAGCAGATTTCTTACAAATTCAGGCAAAAAGCACTAGGCAGTAGTGAAGTGGATTTTTAGATATCTTAGAGGGAGCTCGAAGGTTTATTTAAGCTTTGGAGGTGGATCACATGTGTTGACAGGTTACACAAATGCAGATATGACAAGAGATATAGATACGAGAAAGTCTACTTCAGGTTATGTACTTACTTTTGCAGGGGGAGCTGTGTCATGGCAATCCAGGTTGCAAAGGTGTGTTGCTCTCTCCACCACAGAAGCAGAATATATTGCTGCTATAGAGGTATGCAAAGAAATGTTATGGATGAAAGAATTCTTACAAGAATTGAGGCTGAAACAAGAAAATTATGTGGTGCATTGTGACAGCCAGAGTGCCATCCATTTGTGTAAGAACCCAATGTTTCATTCCAAGTCAAAGCATATAGATGTCAGATACCACTGGATTCGAAATGTATTTGAAGAGAAGCAGTTGCAGCTTCAGAAAATTCACACAGATGACAACGGAACAGACATGTTGACAAAAACTTTACCAAAAGATAGACAGGAGATATGCCGACAGTTGGTCGGCATGACTTCACATTGAGGAGTCATGGGACAGCCTCCCTTATGGGCTGAAGGGGGAGGTTGTTAGGCTGGCAGCCCACAGATTCAGCCTATACCCCCTCTTAACCTAACCCTAATTAACATTAGGGGGGTGTGGTGGCTACGTTTTGGAGGCAGAAAAAGGCTTAAATAGGACAGCAACGTGGGAGAAGCATAGAGCCACGAGATTCCAAAGAAAAGGAGAAAAATAAGATAGAAAATGAAGAGAAAGAAAGGGAAGAAGATAAGGATAACGTAGAGAGGCTATTCTCAATCATCTAGCACCGTTCTCATCTCAGCTTAGATCAAATCTACAGTAGACTTTTGCTGTGATTACTTGGGGAGGTTTTAGATATTGTAGGCAGTGACATGATCCTTGTATCCCGGTTATTCTCTTGTGATTGTTGCTAGGGTTTAGGGCAAGAGATTGAGATTTGTATATTCATTATTCTCATAGTGGATTATCTCTAGTTTGCCCCATGATTTTTAGGGTTTAGGGCAAGAGATTGAGATTTGTATATTCATTATTCTCATAGTGGATTATCTTTAGTTTGCCCCGTGATTTTTACCCTTCACATTGAAGGGATTTTCCACGTATATCTTGGTGTTCTATTTGATTGTGGTTCCATTTAATTCCGCTGCGTATTATGGTCTTCTAGTATTTGTTCATATACAAATGTTATTCCTGTTAATATCCCCATCAGCCACCACCGTCGATGGCTTCCGATCAACCACCGGAGGAATTCTTCTCGTTTGCCAGCGGCCCACGGACTTCCGCAGCTTTGTCGCCGCCATGTACCTCATGATGACCCTAGGCTTCCTGCTGCTCTACCTTACCCTGGCTCGTCCTCATCTGGGATCCACAACGGCGACGACCGCCGCCGATGATTCCTGGTGAGCCACAGTTCTCTCTCTCTCTCCATCCCCCCGATGCAGCTTCTGATCAAATTCGTTCATTGTGGCCAGCGTTCCAACAGAGCAGCTTCTCAAGGTTGCAAAGTTCGTGCTCGCCATCGCCACCGGAGGTTTTCTTCTTGTTTGCCAGTCGCCCATGGACTACCCCAGTTATGCCATGACCATGTACCTCCTGATGACACTAGGCTTCCCTTCTGCTAAACCTTTCCATGTGTCGTTCACAGATGGGACGGACAACGATCTCCGATGGTTCCCAATGAGCCAACAATTACTGTTCCTGCACGCCCTCCTTTTCCCTCTCACACCCTCAGTGATCGATGAATGATTTGGGTCGATGTGCATCACTAGCGGCGGAATTAGTTTCTGTTAGCTTGTAGTTCAGCAGTCGTTGGTGTTCGTTCTGCCTTTTTTTTTTTTTCTTTTTCTGTCTTATTTTCCACTATTTGTGGTTTGGTTATACGAGACACTTTGCTCTTGTATCTTCCCACACATAGCAACACTTCAAAAGGGTGCTTGGTCGACTCTTTGTTGTGCACTTCTTCTCAGTGATGCTTTGATCATGTTACGGTTCCAAGGTTGTGACATGTAGTTAGTACATCCCCATCTTTCATTACCCAATTGCCAGTTCTGGTTGCTGAATGTATGCCAGCGTGATAGTATGTGCATAAATATTATTGGGTTGGCGTGAAGAGATAAGGTAAAACATACATAGGGCATTCGAATTCTCAATAAGAAATCAATAAAATATTAAATAAAAAAATAAATAAAAGAGGTAAAATTTAGAATGAACCCACAGGATGTGTAATTTCTCATCTACATGGGATTAATTGAGATTCTCATATAAGATTGATTCGATCAGTATTATCCTTTCTACGAGCAAGATTAAAGTAAAGATATAATTGAGGAAGAAATATAAAAGATGAGGGATTGTTTGATTATTTTTTAATTGAATAGATAAAGAGTTACTGCGATCTGATGAACCGGTGATTCCTGCGAACATCTCTCAACAAGAAGGGATTTCGTGGGTCAAAATTGGCAGCGGCATCTTGAATGCGCCACAACCCACAAGAATCGCTTAAAGTCGTAACACAAGTCGCGACGCAGTAATGTCTTTTTTTTTGGACGTCCACCGGCTGGCATGTCATAGTTGTGACGCGATGGATATCTTCATTTGTCCCTTTCAAGCCTCTCTCAGCATTGATGCCATGGTTTTGGCATTGATGGCATGGTTTTGAAGGTACCCGAAATGCTAAAAAACTTAAATTTTTTATTCGACATGAAATAATATTTTTGAGCTATGATGCCTGATTCTAAATAAATCAAAGTTTATTTACTTAATAATTTTTATTATTTATGCAATATTACAGTAAAGATACCATCTCTTACGACTAGTAATTTATTTACCCAAATAAACTATGTCATCATATGTAACATATCTCCCTCGAATTGAAGTGACAGCTATTATGACTGATCAACCAAACAACCATATAGAATATATCAAGAAGACTAGATAATGTTTAAAACAAATGCCTCATACATTCCAACACATTTATTTGCCGAACAGCATCTCATACCCGACTAACTCTTACGATGTATTTGCCCAACAACAACAACAACTTGTATCATGTATATATTTACACCCAACAAATGTCTCTGTGCACCACCAGATCACAACAAATAACCCACCTCACCATCTGTAGTTTATTCATCAAATCAAGAGTCTTCAGTTTTACACGTCCCAATTGATATGATGTTACTAACATTTCCGACTGAATCAACCATACAAGACTATGTCAAAGGATAGTTAATGGCGGAGGAACTTTTTCAAAAAAAATTCGTCTTCTGATATGTTCCAACACGCAAATGTAAAATGTATGGTTCCCTGATGGCTGTAATGGTCATCGAACCAAAACAATAGGAACAACTGTTGCATCACTGGTTGCCTGATGGCTGCCTGTTTCTGAGGATAAACTCACCGACCTCTATTTAAGCCACACAAATGCGTTGCTGTTCTTCACACACACCTTTCGCAGTTGATCTTCTGTTCTCGATCGTCGCTACTACTTGTGATCATATTTATTCATCATGGCAAACGTTCCAGCTATGCAACTTCTCCATGCCGCGAAGTTTGTGCTCAGCATCGCCGCCGGGGGATTTCTTCTCGTTTGCCAGCGGCCCATGGACTTCCCTAATTTTGTTGCCGCCATGTACGTCCTGGTGATAGCAGCCTTCCTGCTGCTCTACTTCTCGCTGGGTCGTCCACAGCTGGGATCGACAACGGCCATCACCGCCGATGGTTCCTGGTGAGCCACAGTTCGCTCTCTCTCTCTCTCTCGGACGCAGCTTCTGATAAAGTTCATTCATTGTGTGTCCAGCGTTCCAACAGAACAACTTCTCAAAGCTGCCAAGTTCGTGCTCGCCATCGCCACCGGAGGTTTTCTCCTTGTTTGCCAGTCGCCCGTGGACTACCCCAGTTATGCCATGACCATGTACCTCCTGGTGATCCTAAGCTTCCTCATGCTCTACCTTTCCATGTGTCGTTCACGACTGGGATGGACAACGACAGCTGATGGTTCCCAGCGAGCCACAATTACTGTTCCTGCACGCCCTCTTTTCCCTCGCGCACCCTCGGTGATCGTTTAATATTTCGGGTCGATGTGCGTCACTTATGGCGAATTAGTTTCTGTTAGCTTGGAGTTCAGCAGTCGTTTGTGTTCGTTCTACTTTGCTCAACTGTTTTCCTTCTTCTTTTTCTTTTTTTGTCCTATTTCCACTGGTGTGGTTACACGAGACAATTTGTTCTTGTATCTTCCCACAGTATGGCTTGATCTTTGTTTTGCACTTCGTCTCAGTGATGATTTGCTCATAAACTTTTCTTCTCCTCTTCCAATCGAAACACTTTGGTGGATTTGCAGAGGACATTCTTCTCGATATTTCTAATACAAGTCTCGTATGCCTGAAACAGTATCTCCTCCCTTTTCCTTCTTTCTTGTTCCTCGATTCGCCCCCCACGAAACCGTGCTGTCGTTTTCCTTCTTCCTTGAATTATTTTCATCTGTTTCTGTTTTCTTCTCGTGAAGACTTTGTCGTCTTACTTCTTTTAGAAATTGGTCCTCTTATGGCAGTTGACGGAGAAGATTATTGTGATTTCGTTACCGCTCTTATGCGAGTATAATACGCTTTATTTGACAGGGATTCTGTACATTGTTCCTAAAACACACACAAATATATAAATATATATATGCGAGTATAAAACGCTTTCTTTGACTTGATAGGGATTCTGCACGGTGTTTCTATAACACACATATATATATATATATATATATATATATATATATATA